TAGTGAGAAGATAATTTTTTGAAAAAAATGGAATAAAGTAATGAAATTAGTGGGGCTATAAAAAACTTTAAATTTTGTGAAAAAATTGAATAAAGTAATGAAATTAGTGGGAGCTATAAATTTTTTTAACTGTTTTATGAATTATATTTATTAATTAACTTTTTTATTAAGTAATTTTAAGGTTTGCATTATGATTTATTTATTTACTTTTTTATTTTATTTTTTAATTTAGTATTACTATGTGTTCTATTAATGTGGGGTTAGAAAGATGTTATGAGTGGAGAGAGGTTAATTATTTGCATGATATAAATAGAGAATGTTGAGTGGAGAGGAATTTGAGAAATAAACATGTTAAATATTTTAATTTAATTATTATTTAATTAATAATAATAATATTTAATTATTAATAATAAAAGATTAATTAATATTTAATAATAATAATATTTAATAATAAAAGAAATAAATATGTTAACATATTATTGATGGGTGGTTGCATTTAAAAAAATCCAGGACGTATTTTATTGTATTTGTTAATTAATAATTATTTAAAATATAAGAATATGATTTAATCGGAAGTTTTAAGTGGAGTTAATAATAAATATATGTATACTAATTAATTAGAGAAAAAAGTTTTAGCTAAAATTTTTTGATAGAAACATTATGAGATTATATAATAGTATAGATAGATAATACTTGTCATGTTTGCTAAGAATATTAATAATATAGCTTTTAAAAATAGATTTATTTATTAAATTAGGGATCAAATAATTAAGTTCTTTTTAGTCCCTTATACTAAGAATTGAACCTTAAACTACTTGGTTGCCAAACACACTTCTTTGCCACTGCACCAATCCCTTCTTAATAATTAGTTAGTTTTACAAATTAAATATATCTCATGTTCTAATGCATCCAGAATAACAATTAGGCTCTTATTATTATTATTATTATTATTATTATTATTATTATTATTATTATTATTATTATTATTATTATTATTATTATTATTATTATTATTATTATTATTATTATTATTATTATTATTATTATTATTATTATTATTATTATTATTATTATTATTATTATTATTATTATTATTATTATTATTATTATTATTATTATTATTATTATTATTATTATTATTATTATTATTATTATTATTATTATTATTATTATTATTATTATTATTATTATTATTATTATTATTATTATTATTATTATTATTATTATTATTATTATTATTATTATTATTATTATTATTATTATTATTATTATTATTATTATTATTATTATTATTATTATTATTATTATTATTATTATTATTATTATTATTATTATTATTATTATTATTATTATTATTATTATTATTATTATTATTATTATTATTATTATTATTATTATTATTATTATTATTATTATTATTATTATTATTATTATTATTATTATTATTATTATTATTATTATTATTATTATTATTATTATTATTATTATTATTATTATTATTATTATTATTATTATTATTATTATTATTATTATTATTATTATTATTATTATTATTATTATTATTATTATTATTATTATTATTATTATTATTATTATTATTATTATTATTATTATTATTATTATTATTATTATTATTATTATTATTATTATTATTATTATTATTATTATTATTATTATTATTATTATTATTATTATTATTATTATTATTATTATTATTATTATTATTATTATTATTATTATTATTATTATTATTATTATTATTATTATTATTATTATTATTATTATTATTATTATTATTATTATTATTATTATTATTATTATTATTATTATTATTATTATTATTATTATTATTATTATTATTATTATTATTATTATTATTATTATTATTATTATTATTATTATTATTATTATTATTATTATTATTATTATTATTATTATTATTATTATTATTATTATTATTATTATTATTATTATTATTATTATTATTATTATTATTATTATTATTATTATTATTATTATTATTATTATTATTATTATTATTATTATTATTATTATTATTATTATTATTATTATTATTATTATTATTATTATTATTATTATTATTATTATTATTAGGATTGTTATTATTATTATTATTATTATTATTATTATTATTAGGATTGTTATTATTATTATTATTATTATTATTATTAGTTTTATTATTTATTTATTTATTTAATTTTTTTATGATGATGATGATTATTATTATTATTATTATTATTATTATTGTTATTATTATTATTATGATTATTATTATTAGTTTTATTATTTTATTTTTATTATTATTATTATTATGATAGTTGATATATATTTACATTTCTTTTAGTTCTTAAACACACTCTTCTTCTTGTCATTCTCAAATTACTTTTTTATTAATAATAATAATAATAATAATAATAATTATTATTATTATTATTATTATTATTATTATAATAATAATAATAATCATCATAAAAACAAAAATAATAATAATAATGATAATAAAATAATAATAATAACAATAATAATAATAATAATAATAATAAAGTAGTTTGGGAATGACAAGAAGAAGAGTGTGTTTAAGAACTAAAAGAAATGTAAATATATATCTGATTTGTAAAACTATCATAATAATAATAATAAAAATAATAATAATAATAAAACTAATAATAATAATAATAATAATAATAAAAATAAAAATAATAATAATAATAATAATAATAATAATAATAATAATAATAATAATAATAATAATAATAATAATAATAATAATAATAATAATAATAATAATAATAATAATAATAATAATAATAATAATAATAATAATAATAATAATAATAATAATAATAATAATAATAATAATAATAATAATAATAATAATAATAATAATAATAATAATAATAATAATAATAATAATAATAATAATAATAATAATAATAATAATAATAATAATAATAATAATAATAATAATAATAATAATAATAATAATAATAATAATAATAATAATAATAATAATAATAATAATAATAATAATAATAATAATAATAATAATAATAATAATAATAATAATAATAATAATAATAATAATAATAATAATAATAATAATAATAATAATAATAATAATAATAATAATAATAATAATAATAATAATAATAATAATAATAATAATAATAATAATAATAATAATAATAATAATAATAATAATAATAATAATAATAATAATAATAATAATAATAATAATAATAATAATAATAATAATAATAATAATAATAATAATAATAATAATAATAATAATAATAATAATAATAATAATAATAATAATAATAATAATAATAATAATAATAATAATAATAATAATAATAATAATAATAATAATAATAATAATAATAATAATAATAATAATAATAATAATAATAATAATAATAATAATAATAATAATAATAATAATAATAATAATAATAATAATAATAATAATAATAATAATAATAATAATAATAATAATAATAATAATAATAATAATAATAATAATAATAATAATAATAATAATAATAATAATAATAATAATAATAATAATAATAATAATAATAATAATAATAATAATAATAATAATAATAATAATAATAATAATAATAATAATAATAATAATAATAATAATAATAATAATAATAATAATAATAGTTTAATTATTATTCAGGATGCATTAGAACATGAGATATATTTAATTTGTAAAACTAATTAATTATTAAAAAAGGATTGGTGCAGTGGCAAAGAAGTGTGTTTGGCAATCAAGTAGTATAAGATTCAATTCTTGGTGTGTGTCTAAAGATAAGGGACTAAAAATGGTATTTTCCCAATAATTAAATCAGAAAAATTTTATATTTATTTATATGAGAATATTTTGGTAAAAAAAAATATAACTTAGGTGTAGGAAAATAAATAATGGAGTATGGGATAAATTTTTCATCACTAAAACGTTAAAAATATTAATTTAAATACTTCTCCAGAATCCACTAACTCTTATGAAATTTTTGCATGGTAAACTAGCACCCTAAAGATGAAAAAAGTAATACTCTTATCTAATATATACAATTATCTAATAAATACCAAACTAGCCTTATTTTATCTAACCCACATGATTAAAAACAATCTTCTCAAAGTAAACTTTAAGGCTTGGTTTAAGAGTTCAGAAGAGATGAGAATGGAGGACTTTAGAAAAAGAGATTTTTTTAATACAAAAGTCTTTAACAATTTTTGAAAGAATAAATTTGCATAAAATGATACATAAATAAAATAATTATCATTAATATATTTTTTATTTTCAAAATCCTATAAGTTACACTTGAACAATGTGTCTAAACTTTTCAAAATCCTTCAGACTCTTCCAATACAATTGTTTTAGTTTTCCCAAATTAGGGATTTTGAATAAATAACAATAAATCCTCCAAAAACCCTCTCTACCTAAATCTCTATTTTTTCACTCAATCCTTCTATTTTATCAAAGTTTCCCCTTTTCCCCTTCAAACTCCCCAACCTTCATATTGAAAAAAAGATAAAGCTATGTCTAAAAAAAGGATAAAGATATCAAAGAAACAAATGATAATCAATTTAACTCAAGTTTAAAGTGAGGCAAATTAACTATTCAACTAAACTTAATTGATTTGTTTTAGATTAATGAATTTATCATGTCAATTTAATTTGATAAACTCTTGTATAGTTCTGTTTAATTTTGACAAGCCTCTAAACCACCCGTGAATGTAATTGATCGTTTCAATTTGTTCTTTCAAGAATCCATTCACTATTGTACACAGGTAAACGACTCCAATTAGCAAAACATTTCATTTAGCATCATTCTCAAACTACCAAACTTTGAGAGGCGTAATACCATTACCATGTACATTCTATGTATGTACCGCTCTAGCAAAATCATCACTAATCATCATTGTCATATCGTTTGAAGCAGTACATCCAAAGAGAATCCAATGTTACTGTCCTCTTTTGCTTCGGCTACTAGGACTAGGTACACTTTTCAAACCAAAAGATTCACCTGAACCCTGTGAGTTTCTCTGACGAGGAGACAAACTTCCTTGGTGTGTAGGAGATGCAATTCGACGGGGAGATCCCAAACTTGCTTCAGTCCCTCTAGACGTAGACACCTCCACCTCCATACTCTTGGCTTCTTCACTCAGAACTGCTAACTGTAAGTCAAAAACATATGTGCAAGAAACAGTGAAGATAATTGAACAAATGTTTAATCGCACTGGAAGACCCAGAAATTTCAAATTTGCTGGGTACATGATAGAAGAAGAGGCTAGCCTAGTGCTGATTTTTCTGAATCTAAATTAAAGCCTTAAAAACTGATGATATGGTCCAAGAAAATCAATTACGGTGCAACTTAGAAAGGATAATATATATACCCGAATTTCATTCTCCCTGAGTCGATCTTGAAGTGTGTTTATTGCCGGACTTAAACTGTACCAAAAAGTAGTAATTCTTTAATGAAAGAGAACAAACCAAGAAAAAGAAGAGATGAAACAAATGGACATCTTGCTCTGACCAATACTCAATCAACTTGCATAAGGAAGCCTGATAAGTTGAAGTGTGGTGTATGAAAACGAGTGGATGCGTTTTCCCGTCCCTACAAAGTACAAACAAATGGCGCAGGAAATTAGGAACACTTCAATACAAATGAAATCAAACTCGATAAATTCAGTGCTTCAATCTCACTCCAAAAGAATGTTTCAATAAAATTGTATCTATGTACTAAGTGAATGTATACAGTTTATGAAATACCACCTTGTATTTTGTAAGATGGCTTGATTATATGCAGTCCGCTCCTCTTCAAATAGTACATGTTGCAGATCGGTGTATGATGATAGTGGTGAATCAAGGTTGATAAGAGACAAGGATGGTAGAACATGGAGAGGAATTTCTTTTCTTACATACTCTGCACCACTGCCACCAAACACGTGTTATTTAAAAACCCAAAAGGTTGGACTCGAAAAATATTAGACATGGTAGAATACAGAAAAATGAAATTCTCATTTTTATATTTAAGGGCTTTTCTATAACTTCCATTTGTCATTCAAAATTTAACTAACAAATATGTCAAGAAGCACACGCAGAATACCTGTCTCTCAGCACGAGTATATTTCTTAATGGAATATTTACAGGGTAACGTTATTATAGGCATGTCATATAGACTTAGTGGAACTATGGAACTGTGCCCAAGAAAGCTTCATACGTAAAGGTAGCTGAATCAGACTGAGGAGTACAGATGGGAGCTTAAGACAGGTTAGAGATTATGTTCATACATACATGGGAGAATTTTTACAATAAGAATGGATATCAGGGCCCTCCCCTTACTCTTAACTAATTTATGTTTCCAATGGCAAGTACATTACAGCTATCCAGACATTTATCACCCAGTCCCCTGGAATTAGGCTTCAGATGCAAAACAACAGGCACCATGCTCCCTTATGTGTAAGGGGACAAAATAAATCCAAATCCCAAAAACAAGCTTTATTTGTTGGTTGGATAAAGAACAAAGTGGTCAAGCACATACTCATCTATATTCTATACCTTGTGTCCAAATTTGAACGGTGCATAGCTTCCTGCATACTTTCTGACATATCCATGGGATCATCAAATCCGACGTCTGAATTGGTGAGAAGATAGTTTCCTTCATCCTTTCCACTCCCCTGATAGTTAGCATCAGCATTAGCGAAGAAATTCCCCAAATTTGAAGATCTCCCCCCACCCTAGAAAGAAATTTAGTTACATAAATTTAAACACACACACACAACTAATTACTTTTATCCTGGACAGAAAATTACAAGCACAGTTATACAGGTAGGGCAGCCTTGAGGGGCTGAACTCACTCCATAAGATCAACCTCACCCGCTGTATCAACAAAAAGATGTATATAAAAGCCAGTATAATAGGAAAAATTGCCTTAACCTTGAATAAGAACTTCACTCAGAAAAATATAGATTAGAAAGTGTCAAGGGTTGTTTTGTTCAACAAACACTCAGCCCCTACAGCTTGTATAGGCTGCAACATATTCTGTAATTCTATGTTCAACTGTAATCTACATTTTCAAACTGCTGTCTGTTCTTCAACCACAAAATGCAATACACTGGGTGTTAAATCTATTTGATATAAGATAATGTATACCTTACTAGTACCCACATTTCTTGAATCACCAGTGTCTTGTTCTGAATTATCTGCCTTGAAGTAACTAGATCTTGTTGGTACATTCTCTGAGGTACTTGGTGATGAATCAATATTAATAATGGAGCTTCTATTTACCGGAGACAGAGGTATGGGTTTTGACATGTTATTTTGCTTCCCATCAGATGACTGGAAAGCAATTACTTGAATTCTCCCTACCTGTATAGAGTTCACAGCTATTATTTGTTGTTATAATTGGTGAGCATATATAATAGAAGATGTCTCACAATGATCATGTGTTCGTGACCAACCTTGTTTGCATCTTCGTTGTAACAAGAAAAAATCAACCCAATAAATCCAGAATCAAGAAGTTGATACATTGCCTGAGTCCGCACATCTACAGAATAATAAAGATGCTTATTACACACTGTTGCTTTGAATTAAACATGAAGAAAAAAGACAAGTTGTCATTTAAAAAAAAAACTTTGTTGTATCCTTTCTACTCCAACTTAATAACAATTTTAGTGTCAAAAGTTATTAAAGGGGTACATATATGCAGACATATCCAAGACTTTTGAGGGAGGGGAGTCTAGACCATATGCACGTGTATGATTTGTTATGTCAATGATATTATTTCCTTTGATGTGACGCTTAGAATTAGCCTATTAGTAATTGTACATATTTGTAATTCCTATTTAACCTGAATAAATTAGGAATTAGGTGATATTAGTCATTAATAGCTGTAATGATACTTGTATTATATATCCAAGTGAATACAATGAAAGAAAGGGCAAGAAGCCAGAATTTATTGACATGATTAGCAAGAACAGCTTCACGAAAATTTTAAATTTTAAATTTGATAAATTAAAAAAATCCTTTCAACTTAATTCATGGAGGCCTCTGGGTAACTTAAACTTACTGTACATATATGATCAGAACTTAAAAACTATATACGAAAACCTCATATTTTTTATCTCTAGCATCGGTAATCATTTTATCATATACCTTAAATACAAAAAGTGAGAAGTATATATAGAAGATAAAGGAAATGACAGTAGCATGTGGCGTGAGGCAAAGTGCTCAATATAGGAAAATGATAGTTGCATGTGGCGTGAGGCAAAGTGCCCATGTTGAGCAAGTCAGAGCAATTACAGTAGAACCCATGGTATTATTATGTGGTTTGCTGAGAGGTGTCTGAGGTGCATATGAATAAGTAACATGTAACTATTAAATACCATACTACCAGTCACAGACGTGTGAATAATTTGTTTGTTTCAATGAAATAACAGTTAACAGTCTTCATATAATTTCACAGTCAAATGATAGGTAACCCGGTTTGTTATTGAGTGAGATAGAGGGTGAGATAATAAACAATTAATAATAGGTAAGAAAACTTAGAGTTTGTTTTGGATAGGAATTTAGAGTGGGAGATAACACTGTCTCTCAAATAGTTTGAATGTAATAGGTTTTTTTAACAATAAACAGTAACCACCATTTTCATATATATTTTGATCTATTTCCTATTACCGATTCTCTCATTTCTCAAGTCCACACGAACAATATGCTCTATAAGAGATAAAATACTATATAACATCTTCCAATTCACAAATCCCTAATACATGACTCAGTAACTTCAGTTATCCAATCCAAACAAGAACAACTCAAACAATAAAACATTATACTAATCACACAATGAGAAACGGGTTGCCCAAAAGTACTTACCAACATGTGAAGGCAAAACAGTAATATGAGGATGTGAATGGTACCAACCTATCACCCTGGTTACTCTTCCAGTTGAAACAGTCATTCTGTGCTATGAAGTTAAAGACACAAACAACCAACCATGGCAGTCCTTAAACATCACCAAGAACAACAAATTATCAAAAAACAAATAGCATTGCAAAGCTAAACCTATGCACTAAATTGATTTTAGATCTAATATGCAATATCACAATATACATAAAACAAGTAAACAAAGATTCATAAGAAAAAGGATATATCAGCAAGAGCTGAAGCAGCAGCCAACTGTTCAGGCTTAGTTTCAACACGATCTTTTCTACGATCAGACCTTGTTTGAGGAGACGCTCCCCATATCAATGCAGTCACAGCCCCATTTTTCGAATGCTAAATCAAGAATTTACCGAATTCAATTCAACATTGTGAAGCAAATTGGGGAAAATAAAAATCAAGGATTCAACGGATTCAACTCAACATTGTGAAAAAACTAATTGGGGAAAACAAAAATCAACAGTTTAAAGAATTCAATTCAACATTGTGAAGCAAATTGGGGAAAATAAAAATCAAGAATTTGAAAAGGAAGAAAAGATTATACCTCGATGTCGCCAAGGAGAAGACCCATGATTTCTTCCGATTCAGTGGTAAATCCATGAGTTGCGCAAGTTAACCAAACTTCTTCAGACATTTTCACGCTTGTTAGAGCCATTTTCACGCGAAACTCGAATTCGTCAAAAACCCTAAAACCCTACAATTTCATTCACTTCGATTTCTTTGTTTAATCTTTTCGATGTTTGTTTCCCTCTCAACCTCAACTGTCAAGTCAATAGAACTAATTAGTGTTAACCTTACCCTAATCTTACTTGCATCGGCTAATTAAATAAATTTATTATAAATTAACTCTTCTAAAGATTTTTTTTTTTATGTCTCCTGAGATAAAAAAGATAGATGTTTAGAAATACATTTAGAAATACATATATTTATTTTTTATACATTATAAATTAATAATCGACTAAGTGTATATATGAATTTAATGTTAACAGGGATTAACAATCTTTTCGTTAAACAACTTGATTTATTATGTTACTTTTGTTGTGAAAATGTTAAGTATGATGATGTGGCATGTCAACAAAGATTGGAGTTCATTGGTGACTCAGCATATTGCAATTTATAAACCGTATAACCTAATTTCATGTCCAATGCATTACTTTAACGTGAGATTATTATTTATCATCTTCTTCCTCCTTCTTCATTCATATGTGAACATGTCAGTAAACTCCAATAACAAAGCAAAATCAAACACCAAAAGTTATGGGTCATTTGAATCTGTTGTGATAAGAAAGAAAAGGATGGAGTGTTGGTGTGAAGAAGAGTGTGTAATGCATACTGTTACATATTTAAATAGTGTCAATGTTGAGAAAAAAAATTTGGGGTTGTAGAAATTACAGAAATCAACTGGAGAAGGGATGCAATTTTTTCAAGTGGGTAGGAGATGAAGTTGTTGATGGAAGGATTTGAAGATTGAAAGGCAAAGGAAAAAATATTCAAGTTGAAGAATGAGGTCTTGAGCAAGAGGAATGTTGAAAAATGCAATTTTATTTGGCATTATTAGTTTAGGGTTTAATATGGTTTTTGTAACAATGTATTTAAAATAGATTTGTGGGCAATAGAACATGTAATATGATATTATGAATGTAAGAATGTTTGATTTTGTTTAAATGAAATGGGTTGAATGTTATAAATTTGTGTTGGATGTTTAAGCATTTTTGTTATTGTATGATATTGTTTGTCTGTAATTTGGGTTGAATGTTATAAATTTTGCTTTAACAAAAAATTTGTTTTATAACCTGTTATGGATCTATGATAGCAAGTTGAACAAAATATTTCTTTAACAAAACTGGTCTATTATGGATGTATTGCTTTAACTGGTATGATACAATATTGTTTTATAATTGTTCTATTCTGCATTATAAAGAACAATTTGATGAATCGTGTAAATAACAAGTTGATATTGCTTTAACAAAATGTTATGGATATTGCTTTGACAAAATATGTTGCACTGGTATAATATATATTGCTTTAACAAAATATTCTGCAAAATGTCACTGATACAAAAAGGCAATATAATAGCATAATAGCATGTGTTCTTGACACTGGTACAAAAAGGACAGTGATACAAAAAGGCAGTTGTTCTTTGCCACCAATACAACAAAGCCTAAGTTAGTGTTCACAAAAGTCTAAATAAAGTGTTCGCATGACACTGAGTTACACAAACATGAAAAATGAAAAGTGGATCAAGTTGCTTCAAGTTGAGTTGGTGCAAGAAGACTTGAACCAGGATGACTTGGTGCAGAAAAACTTGCATCAGGATGACTTGGTGCAGAAAGACTTGCATCAGGTTTCGCACCTCGAAAAATTCATTTCGAACATACGACCCTCGCGCGAAAGGCGCGGAAATGCGGTTCGACAGAGTCGTCACCAAACTTTATTTTTCCCGAATGAACGGGAGAGGAAAATATCGAGAAAACCTCATAAACACGGAAGGAACACGGCCGTCGCAACCAAATGTTCCTGGGTTCGGGAGTCGGTTACGCGAGGGGAAGGTATTAGCACCCCTCACGTCCGTCGTACTCGACGGGAACCTCTTAATTTGAGTTGTGATGGATGTTAGCTAAACTTAATCTTCTCTTCTCACTACTAAAAGCTAAAGGATACTATAAAGGCTAAAGACGCTAAGGGGAAATGGGATGGTTAGAGAATAGGGTGCTCGCCAAGGATTTGGGCCCTTGTGCCTACGTATGCTCATTCGGACGAGAATGAGAAATCAGAGCGTCGTAGTTCGACTACGGGAAGGATTGGGAATGTTGAAGATGGAAGGGATTGTGCTCGCCAAGATCATCGTAATCTTGTGCCTACGTATCTTACATTCAAGAGTGAATGAAGAATCAGAGCAGTCGTAGTTCGTGGTAACAACCACGAAAGAAACTGGATTGAATTGGATTTGAAGTGGGTACGAATGACGATTACTTGAAGTTTAAGAAAGACTTCTCAGACCCAAGTAATCGGGAGAGCGAACCAAAGACTTGGAACACTCTCTTTTTCATCATGAAGGAATGATGTGTTTGAAAGGATAAGGTTGAAATGATGACGATCACTTGAAGCCTAAGAAAGACTTCACAGACCCCAAGTAATCGGGAAAGCGAACCAAAGACTTGGAACACTATCTTTTTCATCGTAAAAGAAGGTTGTTTGAATTTGAAATGGTGTATAAAAGGATGAGATTGGTCGGACGACGACTACTTGAAGCTTGAGAAAGGCTTCTTGGATCCAAGTAGTCGGGAGAGCGAACCAAAGACTTGGGACACTCTCTTTTTCATCGTAAAAGAAGTTGTTTGAAAGGTGAGCGAAAGGATGAGTAATTGGAGATGGTTGAATATTGTCGAGTTTGTTAATATTATTTAAAGGCGTCAATTGCTCACACACGAATAAGATAACTCGCATATAAACAACGGAAAGCAAGATCAAAGACTTGAACCTACTCTTTACACCTTGAAAAGAATTGAATAATTGTTAATTGATTGATGGTTTGTTTCGAAAATCCCCTTGACGTTGGATCAAGGGTTTGACTCGTTATCGCGTGCAAAGCGCGTTGAAAATGAAATTGTTTGAAAAAGAGACCGACTTGACTTACGCATCAAGGGTCGAGTTGTAATAGGTTGATGGCGAATGCGTATGAGCACTCGACTTACGGGTTGTTTGAAAATGGCTCGATGATGAATCGAGAATCAGTTTGAAAATAGTTTGAATCCGCTCTAGTCCCTATGGGTGCTCCTAGGAGATTAACTAATAATCAAAGAAATGCGAAACATACATCGGAATGGGAGAGGGATACATGTAAGTTACACGGGATTGCACGAAATAAAGGGGTCTCATTGTCAGGTAGCCCAAGAGAAAGCCGCGTGTGTGCATTTGTGTCCTAAACTACGCCTTGAGCAAAGTCGGGCACGACTTAAAATCAAGATACCTGCAAATAACCAATGATCCAACAGTCCACCAATTTGGTTTTTAGGAGTTTCGATAATTTATTAGGTATTTTCGAATATGGGTGAATAAATATGATAAATATGAGATATATGAATAATAACATGAACAATATGAATAAATAATATGTTAAGATAAATGTAGCAATAATATGAATAATATGAATAATAATATAACAATATAATATCCACAATAATATTTGACGGAAATTTAAGTTAGTGGTCAATGAAATAAAATCGAAAGAAAAACAGGGGGGTCTCAGATCCTTTGTTTCACGCCACTAATGTGACGGTTAAACGTCGGAAATCTCGTCATCGACCCTAAACACGATAAAAAATAAATAAAAGAAAATATAATTGAAAGTATAAACCAAAATTAAATATCCAAAGAACTTTAACAATATTAATGAAGGATATTAACAATATGAGTTAGAAAAAAAACAGTTGTATATAAATTAATTAAAGTTCTCACTAAAATTATTCAAAAAAAGCATTATGAGAACTTCAACTTAAAACTCATTAGAAGATATATTATTTTTTTTTAAAAGAAAAGAAAAGGAGAGATCTATAGACTCCTAAGAAAAACCAAACAAAAATTTTAAAAAGAAAACAAAAAGATCCCAAAAAGTTGTGTAATAGTGTAAATGGGTTGATCTCTTTGCCAAAATTCAATGGGAAATAGATGGTCATGGCTCAGACATAGGTTTCTTAAACGACAACAAAATCAAAAGAAAATCTCAAAAGCAACATCAAATACGGCCATGGCGGAAACAACAAGGCGTTAAGAATCCCCTGCTCCACCATAGATCAAGATTATCGACAGAATAAACAAGGTCAATGATAAAACCTTCTTGCGATTCTAATCTCTTCTTTCTGTTTCTTCTTATCTCTGTTTGCTCTGGTTTCGTTTTTGTTTATTGTTTACGAAATCGGTGATGGATATTTGTGGTGAATGAGTTTGGTTCATGATGTTTGTTTTGGGTGAAAGTTTCGCTGTTGGAAGTTATGGTAATTTTGAGGGTGAAGGGTGTATTGGAAGAAGAAACGTTCTTGCGGAAATGGAGTATGTTGGAATGGGTTGAGATTGAGGGTTATTGAGAAGGTTCAATAAAGTTGGGGACAGGGTATTTGGTCGGATGGGTAGTTGGAGGGCGATAATGAAACGTATTTTGTGTGAAGCTCTGGGTTAACGGATGAGTAAGATTCAGAGAGTTTCGAAGTTGGATTTTCACGGCTTAATGATTGCAGAAGGGTGATGAGTTTTTCGATTCTGGTTTTTGAAGTGATGAGAAACTTTTTCTTTAAAAAAAAGTTCTGTTGTTGTTGTTTTTTCCCTCTTTTCTGAAGATTGGGTTCCCCCTCAAATATCAAGAGAGGAACCCTCAACAAAGGGAGCGTGATGTTCAAGGCTACCTGTCAAGTCCCCTTTTGTGGTACAATTTGCTGCAGGTTTGTGGTGCTCAGGCCAGTGTTTTAAAAACCGGACCGGACCGGCCGGTCGGACCGGTTAGACCGGGAACCGGCCTAATAACCGGTTTGGTTTACTAGTTCGATCGTCTGTGTCATCAAACCGGTAAAAACCGGAAAAAACCGGGTTGGACCGGGAAAAACCGGGTTTAGGGTTGGACCGGTTCTAATGCATTTTTTATTTTTTAATTAAAATTTAAATACAAAAGTTATAAAAATTAAAAAAAAAAGTTTAAAATTAGATTATACTGCAATTATTTTGTTATTTTGTATTATTTTGTTATGTGTAATACATTTGTTTAAAATTTAAATTTAAATTATGAACTTGTGAATTTATGATATGATATTTTTAAAAAATTTAAGTACTAGTTATATTTTTTTAGAAACTGAATCATCCGGTTCGACCGGTTTTATATCTATATAATGACAGGTCTATTCAATCGAGTTATCCGGTTTAATCCGATTTAGTCATGCGGTTCGACCAGTGACTCAGTGGTTCAACCGATAAACCAGTGACCCAGTATCCTCACCGGTTCAATGACCGGTCCGGTTTTTAAAACACTGGCTCAGGCTACTACCCTTTGTTTGCTAGTGGTTTGGCTGTTATTACTGCACTCTGCTATGTTTTTTTTTTGCTTTTGCAGGTTATAAGCTATCCCTTTCTTTGCTGTTGTCTGGTGTGGGATGAGAGATCATGACACGACCTTGCGTGGGGCCCCCTTGAAGATTTGCAAGGTGATGATTTCCTTGTGAATTACATTCACTGCAGTATTTATTTTTTTACTGATGTGAAACTTTAATAATCGGCCAAGTCTTGCTTAATCTGTAAGTGATAAGTTCATCATATTTTGCTCCTTTCTTGTAGGACACGTTTGGCTGCGATATGATTAATTCTGCACAAGGTTGTTTATGCAGATCAAGCTTACTACGGTGCGAAGATTTTGTTGCAATTTGATTCATGATATCATGGTGAATCAAGACCTTTTTCTATCAAATCTTTGTTGCTGTCATCGACTTCTTCTAACCATCAAGTGCCTTTTTAAGTGTTGTGTTTACTAGTAACAAAACCTGATACTTGTTTCTAATAACCACAAGCTTATTTTTTTTACTGAACCTTACTCTCTCGATACCAGGTTGTGCGAGCCGTGGAAATTGGCACGAGGCTTTTAATGACGGAAACGCACGAGTGGTCACAACTTTAATGGATCAGGAAGGACTTTGGGAGGTAACCTGACATGACGATAATTTGAAGAATAAGGATCAGAACTGTAAAACCCAAAGTCCACTGCATATGGCCGATACGTTCACAACGATTCGCTCATTCTTTGTTACACTTCTTTCAAGTCGAATACGTGATCAATCAAATTAAAGAAATTATGGAACCTTCACCATCTCTCTATGCAGGTATACTAAATTGTGAGAACAAGTTCTTAATATGAATTCTTATGCGTCTGCTGTTGGTACAGGTGAGAACCGGAGGTATCGGGAATAGCATAACTCGCGACTGACCGAGCCGCCGCTTTGAACAATGTTCTCTATCAATTCAAGCAGATGGAGCCTATTTCTATTTCGACATTCTTCATGGTAATTCCTTTCTGTTTTTTTTTCAATCACTCTTTAGGAAGTTCACTGCAAATTTTTCATCATCCAAAATCTGAACAATTGCAGTCTTGAGCCTATGGTAATCTTCAACAGTGTTATACACCTGATGAGAAATCCTCACACAACCAGTTATAAACCCGTCCTTGTCTCTAGGATCCCTTTCAGCATTTCTCAAAGCTTGGTAATATACAAGAACTTCTATAGCATGATAAACCCTAAGATAAAACCTCAACCTCAATGCATCATCCTCACTCGTCACACGAAGCTTTGAAGGCAAACCCACCATAATCATAGCGGTACACATTTCAGGTGGGGCACCAAGAATTGTTCCCCATGATTCCTTTAACATAATCCCCATTTTCACAACCAAATCATGGTTCCTCCTCATAATCCCTTCAATTCCACCTTCAAACCTATTCACAAACTCCAAAATCGAAGGTACCACAAACTGAGGGCTATAATCTCGCATCCCAACCCAAGCACTCTCAGCAGGTAAACCCTTTCCATATTCATGCGCAACCACATAATGGAGCACATCTTTCAATTTCTTGTTACAATACGTACAAGCCACCGAAGGTGGAGAAAAGAACCCTTTGTACAAATTACTTACGTAAAAATCAACACCAATTTCTTTAACATCAACACACAAGCTTCCAATGGCGTGAGCACCGTCAACAAAAACCTGATCCATTTCTTCCCTCGGCGGTTCTAATCGCACAAATATGATTCTCTTTCGTCTAATGCGAGATTTTCAACACTGGCAGGACTTCCCATATACACTCACATATTAGGTATTTATGATTCGATTTCTTCAATTTGAGTCAATGGTTGTAATCTTTTAGCTTGTAATAATGCTGTCAAATTAGCAGGTTTTATAAATCAAAACTTCATCTCATCATCCTCTGTTTGTAATTCTGCAGGCCTTGGTTACATGTTGCTTGGGCTCAAAATCACGAGAGTCATGCTGCTTGGGCACAAAACAATGAGAATCAAAGTGGTGATGTCCTGTAAACCGAGAAGTCTGTTACGAAAGATGCGTTTGGTTTCAGTTGTGAGAAAATGGTGAGTGGATTTATTGCGCAAAGGCTATTCATAAAGCTAGGCATCTCATGCGCATAAAGTGTCGGCTGAGAGAATTGTAAATTCCCTTGCCGTTTATTTTGAACAAACATCTTATTAACATTTCTCTACTAACCTTTTTCATTCTTCTTTTTCATGTACACGATGAGAATCTAAATCAACCTTGAAACTTGCCTTACGATAGATTGGATGCGGTGGACTTAGCATGGCGAAGAGGACAGGGTATGTTTTGCCTGAATATTATTATAGTGATGACGCAAAAAACCTGTGGTCTGATAAATCTTTTGTGTCAGGTTTGACGGTGTGATGCGAATTGGTGTTGAAAGGAAAATTGGGGTCACCAACTAATAAACACAGTTGAAGGCGTCAAATCCTCGTAAGCGTCAAACCCTCTTGTAATACCCCAAATTTTACCCTTTCTTTTTATTTTTATTTTAAATTCTGATTAACTTAATAAATTAACCTTCTTTTTTTAAATCTTGTTTTTTTAACTAATAATAATTTAATTAAATTTTTTTTTTTATAACTTTACTAATGTTTTTTTATTAACTTTTTTTTCTCTATTTAGTTTATTTATTTAAATCATTTTAAGCTCTTCTTACTAACTTTTAGGATTTAGATTAAAATTTAATTTTTTTTCTTTTCTTTAAGAGTAAATTTTTTTATAACCTTTTTTAAATTAATTTCTAACACATTTTTTTAAATCTTTTTTCTAACTTTTTTTAAATCTTTTTTCTAACTTTTTTAAAGTTAAATATTTTTTTCTAACTTTATTTAAAACTAAATCTTTTTTTTCTAACTTTTTTAAAGTTAAATATTTTTTTCTAACTTTTTTTAAAACTAAATCTTTTTTTTCTAACTTTTTTAAAGTTAAATATTTTTTTTCTAACTTCTTTTTAAAATTAAATCTTTTTTCTAACTTTTATAAAGTTAAATCTTTTTTTCTAACTTTTTTAAAAAAATTAAATCTTTTTTCTAACTTTTATAAAATTAAATCTTTTTTTTCTCTAATTTCTTTTTAAAATTAAATCTTTTTTTTCTAACTATTTTAAAAATTAAATCTAACCTTTTTTTATAAATTAAATCTATCCTTTTTTTTTAAAATTAAATCTAAATCTTTTTTTGACACCTTTATTTTTCAAATTAAAATTCTAAATTCTTTTTAAAATTAAATTCTAACGCCCTTTTCTTTTTCTTTTTTTTTTTAAATTTTAAATTCCTTTTAAAATTAAATTCTAACAGTTTTTAAAATAATTCTAACATTTTTTAAAACCAACATTCAAATATTTTTTTTTATTCTAACTCATTTTTTTTTAAAACTCTAATTTTTATTTAACTTGAAACTCTAATCTTCTTTGCTAACTTTTTAAATTTAAATCTCAACACTTTTTTAATCTAATCCAATCTTAATGAATTCCAGATAGAGTTAAATCAAATCAATCAGATCAATCATCATCATAAGAAAATCAGATCTAAATATCAACATCACCATCATTGAATCAAATCTGAAATCATCATAAAAATTCATTCAAATCAAATCAGAGATTGAAAAAGATTGAGATATTCAAATTAAATCTGAGATTAAAAAAAAAGATTTAAAAATCAAGTATAAAAGGGACGAAAATCATAACAAGAAAGGGAGAACTTTTTTCGTAAAATCCAAGCAAACTCCGTCAAAAATCCTCTAGCCTCAGGACAAAGCATCATCGGCCATCATCATTCCGTAAGGATCAAAAAATATAATTACAATTTTTGTGTTGCTTTTCATGTTTTTCAGGAAAAAGAGATGAAGAAGACAAATCGGCGGTCATGCAAAAGAAGAAGAAGATAACATCCGTGAGAGGCAAACAAGAAGGAGAGGAACACACGCAAACTCAGAGAGAAGAAGAGTGATGACCGGCCCAACCCTCTTTTTTATTATTTATTGTTTTTCCATTTGTTATTTTATTTTGTTTATCTTTTTTAAAAAAAATCAAGAAGACCCTTTCTTTTTTATAATCAAAAACCTTTTTCAAATTAATTAAAACTCTTTTTAAATAAAATAATCAAATGTTTTTTTCAAATAATAAAACTTTTTTATAACTTTAAAGTAAAACGTGTTTTTAACTAACATTAAGATTTTTTAAATTAAACCAATTGTTTTTTTTAATGATTAAATCTTTTTTTCAAAATATTATCACTAAAACTCCTTTTTTAGAATAATTAACCAAACTTTCACTTTTTTATTAATAAATTTTTTTAAAACTCAAAACTCTTTTAATTAAAATTAATCTCTCTTTTCACAAATTTAAATCCTTGGTTAAAAAGACCATAAAAGTCCTCCAAAATTCATACGGTTTGTTTCTCGTTCAATTTTGATTTCGTTTTCGTCTAACCCCACATACTGACATTTTTGTTTGTTTTGTTTCTTGCAGCTATTATGTTCAATTTGAAACTTATTTTCGGTTTTATATTTAGCTATTATAATTGTAACTGCTTATGGGATGTAATTGTGCGAGACAATTGTCGCATTTATCTTTCCGCACTTTATTTTCTGCCGTTGTATGTATATTCAATTTCATCGCATCTTTATAATTAATTTCACTCCTCCGAAGGAATTAGGTCTAGCCGTTTGACCGCCGTGTCAGTAGTCCTCAACTTCAAACCCTTGCGACCTCACAAACCCTAATTTTCACAAATGCCTCGCCGCAGGCAAGATTATAATTTTACCCCTAGCATTAGGTCAAAGAGCCGCCGCGCTCATTTTAGGGTTTCCCGCCGCGGAATCCCTAACCTAACCTAATTTAACCCTAATTACAACTTAACAATTCAACGTAGAGATTTGGAGTTTCTACACTCCACGTAAGCGTGTCCTTAAGATGCGTTTATTCCCCTTGAGACCTTGACCACAGTCAAGAAGTTTCTAACCTCCCTATTGAGGGGAACTACGATTACTCTGATTCCACTCCCGTAAGGATACGTAGGCACAGGATGCGATGTCTTGCCGAGTAAACTTAGAATTAACCCCTTAGGTTTATTTTCTCACTTTTAATCCCTTTGTACATATACCTTAAGCAAATAAATAAAGCAAAATAGTAAACATTTGAACAAAAGGTTCCTGTAGAGTACTACAGAAGTTTAGGGTGCTAATACCTTCCCTAAATTTAACCAACCCCCGAACCCTAGATCTTTCCCCGCATTGTGTTTACGATGCAAAATAGGTTTTCCCTCTTTTGACCTTTTCCTTCGGATAAATCAAAGAGCGGTTGTGAATTGAATTGAGATTCAAACTAATTAACAGTTTGTGATCCTATTTCCACCGCAACAGAAAATGGCGACTTCACTGGGGACTAACTTTTGAGGGTTATCCCTAACTTGTTCATATTTATTACTATCTGCGTTATTATTCATTTTGCATGTATATATTTGCGCTTTGATTGTGGGACTGTTCCTTGTGCTGTGAGATAGGTCCTAACCCGGATCTAGTGTACCTTAGGTAAATGGCAATAGACCAAGGAAACTGTACGACGTATATCGATACGGTTGATCTGGTGGCCATAGTTAGTGCGACTTCTTGGTTGGTGCTTATATTCCTTAAGTCAAGTTGAGGATAATATTGAGGCTGCCATATGTTGTCAATGCACTAACTGACTTTTAGAACCCTAGTTAACTCATCTTAGCCTTTAGAAAGTAGTGAGGTAACCGGCTTTGGTGCAGACTGAAGTTGGTTGACACTCGATACTACGCTCATTGAGATCTTAAACTTGGAGGGTTTTGGTTGGCAAGTAAGTTGCCTGCTGAACAACCACCCTGGTGAAGGATCAATGATATTGAGATCCCTTAGAACCTGGTTACTTTTGTAGGACAGGATGAACCATCTAACTTCAAGGGAGGGTACTTGCCTTTGAACCTCATGCAAGCCTTTAACCTAGGACTTTGTGTGTTTTCATGCATTGCATCCATAAAGCATCTCATTGCATTGTATTTCATGGAGTTCAAATATCATTTATGGATATCGCGGGATACCATAAATAAATAAAAAAATAAAATGAAAAAACAAGAAAAAGATTTCTTTGGTACCCCACGACATTCGTAAATGTTTTGAATTCCATGAAATCTTCATTTACATTCACATTTTAGCATCATACTCTTGCATTGCATGTGTCTCCCGATTTCTCACACTCGGTTCTCTCACCTTCCAGTTTCGTCACCCTGAGTTCTCGGCACCAATACAACACCAGAGCTCAAACTCGGAAAAGAATGGAGGATCAGGCAAAAGAGATTGATCGCCTTAGCAATGAACTTGAAGACCTTCGAGGGGGTATGGGGCGTATGATGGAATTGTTACATGTCATGAATGCTAAGATGGATACCCAGCCCACTGTTGTTTCTGAGATTACCGGCGTTACTGTGGACCCTCCACCAAGTGTGACCGTAGCAAGGGACCCACCTTATGGTCTTGCTCCCGGTTTTGTGCCTCCTCAAGTCACTGTTCCGATTAATCAACCTGTTCAGCAAGCCGTGCCTTTGTTTTCTGAAGTTTCTAGGGGGGCTCCTATCTTTGCACCACCTGTTGTACACACTCGTGCGCAACCATACTTCAATGAGACAGTTTTTGGTGATCTTGATGAG